TAACGCGGCCATTGTCTATTCCAGGATCAATTGATACCAGTTCAACTGGTATATCAGGAGCGTTTTTAGTCAAGTGGACAACGTTGCTACAAAACAGAGTTTGTTTGAAGACTTAGTCTTCGCATTCAATAGAAAACTGGACTTGTAGTTATTCCCAGTGGAAAACAACTTTAAGATTCAAGATGAAACAAAGAAAAAAAAAGGAAAGCGTTTTGTAAGCATTAAAAGTCTTCTTTTATCTTATCACTCAGATTGAGAAGATGTATTGGCAATCGCCGCAAGGTTTCATAGGCACATACTTAGACATATACAGCTATTTCAAAAAGGTTGGTGACTGGTTTTGTTACATGTTGCATACCAAGCCCGAAATGTACTATGGGTAATGTGAATACAATCAGCGAAAGTTCACAGCAACATGGAATTTTTCCAAACTTTAATTTGTCTGCACGTTTTCTGGCATATATTCTTCTGTGCTGACATAATTTACATATGAATATAATACATTCCAAGCTTAGTAAGCAACAAGCGAGAGGCAAGATGCAGCCTGAAACAAAACCTAAACCAATCTTTGTTGAATACTAGCTGTGTAAGGCATAACCTTGATACAACGTAGGATATTTAGGATTGGCATCATGATATCTTGCTTGGTTTCAATCTCGCACCCCGAGCCTGCGTTTCTTATGGCCTGCGGCGAAACAGAGCTCTGGCATCATCCACTAATTGGCGCATGCGCAATTTTCCAGAAGTAAAATATGATCAATGACAATCATGCTTTCAAACAGAGTTCTGTTTACTTCCGTATAAAACAAAAATCGGAAAGATATTTTATTTTTATTTTTGGCAAGTCTCTGAATGCATGCGCTGTTATACCGGAAGTCCACGAAATCCTGGTCTAAAAACATGGATTATGCCAGAGCCCTCGTTCTTCGCGGCAGGCCAGAAGAAACGCATGCTCTGGGTACGAGATTGGCTTGGTTTTGCTTAAGGTGTAAATAGAACCAGAATTTCTTTACGCAATGAAATTATACCATATAATCTATAATTATTTGAAATAGTAGTTTGAATACAGTAATGCTCAGTATAAGAGACTATCAAGTCGTCCAGTTAATTACTTAATGGGATCAAATAAGTGAAATAAATAAGGCAAATTATCGTAGAAGCAGTATATTGTTACTGCAAATGAAGTATATTGTATAACATATAATGTATAATCAGTAATCCAAAAATGAGTGAAGATTAATCAACACTGGAAGTAAATCAAGAAAAAAATAGATAGATTTTTTTAGCAAGTAGCTTTATTTTTATCAAGATTTACCATAATTGATGCATTACTTACATTCTGTGTAGTAGAAACGAAGCACTGATATTATGTACTCAGTATTTTATGATAAACTTATATTTCTTACCTTTAGTATTATGGCTGCCAGACCTAGTGCTTCACGTTTTGTCGGTCTTGTCGTCGTAGACTAGGAAACAATGGTTTGAAGTTTAGGTTAGACTTGATGTGTTTATATATTTACTGTATTTTATCTAGCTCAGCCTCTACTTGCAGAAAAAACCTTTCCTGAGGAATTCACTTCAGTGTCCAGGAAACAATGGTTCCAAGTTGAGGCTAGAGTTGATATTTTCATACATTTACTGTATTTTATCAAGCTCAGCCTCTAATTGTAGCAAAAGACTAGCAAGCAAGTTTTTTTTATTTTTATAAATTTTCAAATTGCGATAACCGTTATTTTGCATAGTAATAAYGCAACTAAAAGTGCCACGCAAACTGTATATATTACTTAAAGCACGCGCTCCCAACCAATCAGAATGGAGAATTATAACAGTTATTTTAATAATAGTTAATACAAGTTAATTAATGGGAACAAATAAGAACAAATAAATAAGGGAGATTTTTGTAGAGGATGCATGATTTACGCATTTTTAGGTTATTATTTGTAGTTTTGATAAAGTAATAGATAGTACACAAGACCATTAAGTCGTCAAGTTAATTACTTGGATGCAATAAGGAAAAAAATACGACAGATTTTTGTAGAGGATGCATAATTTATGCATTTTTAGGTTATTTGTAGTTTTGATAAATTAATAGATAGTACACGAGACCATTAAGTCGTCAAGTTAATTACTGGGATAAAATAACAGGAAAATAAATACGACTGAGATTTGTAGAGGTAGCATTTTTATGCCATTTTTAGGTCAATATTTGTAGTTCTGATAAAGTAATAGATAGCACAGAAGACGATCAAGCCGTCTTTTTTTGTAGATTAACATTTTCTTAGCGAATAAACTATACTGTATGACATATACTGTATCATGTGTTATCTATAATGTAGTGAAAATAACTTAACAATGGGAGAAACCGAAATGACAAAATACGTTTTTCCTATCATTTTCACCCAATTGAACTTTCATGCAAAACTTAGAATTGAAAATGTTTATTATCTAATAATGTAATGGAAAGCGCATTAATTGATCTTTTGTACATTATTCATTCTCTGTGAGGGCTGGGGGACTGGATAGGAAGTCTTTTACTAACAAACGCCCCCCTCCCCCCACGATAAGTATTTGTACCTTATTCATACTCTCTGAGGGCTGGGGGACTGGATAGGAGGTCTTTTACTAACATATGCCCCCCTCCCCCCACGATAAGTATTTGTACCTTATTCATTCTCTCTGAGGGCTGGGGGACTGGATAGGAGGTCTTTTACTAACATACGCTCCCCACCCCACACGATAAGTATTTGTACCTTATTCATTCTCTTTGAGGGCTGGGGGACTGGATAGGAAGTCTTTTACTAACATACGCCCCCTCCCCCCACGATAAGTATTTATCCCCACCCTCAGGGTTGCCATTCCACTTCAATGGCAAATATCAGAGTTACATTCCGTTTTCTTCGAACAATTGTTTCAAGTCGAGGCATTTCAAAGTGACCCAAATGTGACGATTATTTGAAGGTAATAGAGTTACTGTAACTGTGATATCCACTATTTCCTCAGGATTCCACTTTTCCCCTCACTACCCCCCACTGGTTAAACTTTGTGCCACTAAAGCCATGCAAGTCATTTGCTGATAAATGCGGGGTACCATTTACACCTAGTCTTGATTTATAATTCAAATGCTCAGTGAGAGAGGGGAGGGGAGGGGTGATGGCTGTTTTAACAAGGAGGGGAGGGGAGGGGAAATACCTGTTTTCTCAGTTCAGACCACTACACGTGTCATTCTCAAGAGTATCATATCTTTGTTTAACGGTTGCTCATGACAAGAGAAATGAATATAGATACAACTCAATCAAAAAAATAACACGTGGTCTGAAATGGGCAAAACATTACGCCCAAGTGGATCATTTGGTCCATTAAAGAATGTTTATAACTAGCACGAATAATTCAACTATTTCCAGCTTGGGGTGCCTGTTTTTTCCCCAGCATTTATCCCATGGGTAATGAAATGAAACAGCGTTCTATCAAAACACTTGCAGGAGGTCAATTATTATAAAACTGATGAATAAATTAACATCGCAATATGGCAATGTTTATGCAGCATCAAAAATGATAGCTTTGTTTATGACGTGTTTGTTTTTCTGCTCATAAAGCATATTCACTTTCAAAACGAAGAACTATACCTTCAGTGACATATCCTTAGTTTTGCAAAGTTTCAGTGGCTTTAATTACCCCCTCTTTGTTTGTCCATGGAGACCTAAGTGCAGCTAGTTTTCTCAAATTGAATTTTATAAAATCAAGTCTTATGCTTCTTGGACCAAGTAAGCGATTGTAAACTACAGCTGCACAAAGGTCGATGACACAACGGTAACTCAACAACAAGGACAAAAACTAGGAAACAATGGTTTGAAGTTTAGGTTAAATAGCCTTGTTGTGTTAATACTTTACTCTACTTTATCGAGCTCATCCTCTACTTGCAGCAACAGACATTCCCTGAATTAACTTCAGTGACCAGTAAACAATGGTTCCAAGTTGAGGATAGACTTGATGTGTTCATACATTTACTCTACTTTATCGAGCTCATCCTCTACTTGAAGCAACAGACATTCCCTGAATTCACTTCAGTGACCAGTAAACAATGGTTTTAAGTTGAGGATAGACTTGATGTGTTCATACATTTACTGTATTTTATCAAGCTCACCCTCTACTTGTAGCAATGAACCACAAAAACCACTGTTTCAAGTTCAGACTGATTTTGTACATTTACTGTATTTACCTTTTCTGAATTCCCTTCATATTACTGTAATCTATCAATCTTAGTCTCTTGAAACCATTGTTTTCTCCTGTTCATAAACAAAAAGATTCCCGGGAAGATTCAAAAAAAAGTTCATTGAACAAAACTGGAAAGTAAACAAACGAAAGGAATTCTGGTCTAGCTAGACCATAATGCACCGCAATTGCATTCCCCGCAAAGGATTGTGGGTAGTTTTTTTAGTTTTGTCCATAAAACTCAAAAATACCCTTTTAATTACACTGTAAATAATAAGTATTACACCCAGAATGCTTTAACTATATTCTATCAGATCAACATGTAGTTAACCATTTAATTTACTTTTGATAATAAAGTCATTTGTTTTATGGCAGATTTGAACCGTAGAGTTGGTTTTATCATTTTTGAATATAAAGGAGAGTAAAACTATTTATTTAGTACTTATTTTGTCTAGATACATACAGCATAAAACAGGCCTGTCCTTTAAGGGATATCGGGTTATTGCGTTACATGGACACGCCCTGACACAGTAAACCACAGGGACCGCGCTTATAATTGAACATTTATAGTTATCTTGGGCTCCCTGTGTCATGTGGATCAACCAAGAGAACTCATGAACTTAATTTGAAATTGCTTTACGTTTTTAAGAGTATCAGTTTCAATGAACGCTTATGATCTAAGCTCTTTATATGACGACTCGTAATAAATGGTTAAAAATCACTTCCCTCCCCACCCATGAACAAAAAATTATCCTAGTTACCAATCTCCCAAACTCTACACGTGCAAAATGGCGGACGAAGTGTAATAAAAGAGTATTCAAACTTTACAAACGTTTTCACCATGAATTTGCTCCCCAAAACCAAAGAACAGTTCAAATCTAAAGAGTACTGGGACCAGTTTTTTCGAAACCGCAAAGAATCGTTTGAGTGGTATGGGAATTACGGCGAACTTTCGACTATTTTGCACAAGTATTGCAAAGTCAAGGACGCAACTCTTGTCTTGGGCTGCGGTAATTCTCAGTTAAGTGAGGATCTGTATGATCTGGGATATCGTGGTCTTGTAAATATAGATATATCAGACGTGGTTATAAGGCAAATGAAGGAGAGAAACAAGGAAAGAAGGGCTGAGATGGAGTTTATTAAGATGGACATGCTGGATGTAAGAAACCTTTTATTTTGATCATAAATAACGATGCCATGTTGGATGATCCAACAAGAGAAAATATTGAGGAGTGCTTTCTTATCGTCAACCAACATGGCGGCTATGATATATAGTTACATGCACCCCAAGGATAGGCGGCAGGTCTAAAATGCGGAGTGGAAAATGCAGAGGATTGGGTGAAAGTAATAGCATATGGAATTATTCAAGAATACCTCTAAAAGATATTGGAAGGGTTAGGGTTACCCACTTATATTACTCTGGAGTTCCCCAACCCCCTCCCCCCCTGGGACATGACTACCATGTAAACACAATTGATTGTTTTCACGGCCGCCATGTTGGATGAATTTAAAAAATGATTCGTCATTAGTCTCTTGTTATATCACACAACATGACTGCCATGTCTTTTGTTATTGCATTCTATTGGGTATAATTGAAAACCAGCAATACTTTTGTTCTAGATGGATTTCAATGCTGAGACATTCAATGTCATTCTTGACAAAGGCACATTAGATGCAATATTTGTGAACACATTGAGTGAAGTCATCTCAGATGTCAACAAGATGTTTGAAGAGATTCAGCGGGTGCTCAAGACAAACGGTCGATACATTTGTATCACTCTAGTGCAAGAACACATTCTTGATAAGCTCTTGAGTCACTTTATTAATGGTTGGTTCATTCGTGTTCATAAGATTGAAGCCACAGAGTCACCATTGCCTGTTTATGCCTTCATCTTCACTAAAACAAAGTTCTCAGGTGTGTATATTTCACCCGGGGTGGGGGGTGGGGGGCTACTACCACCCAAACTTGGGTAGGTGTGTACCGCCAGGACCTCGAAACCCTGACCCTATCCCAGACCTAAAATTTTGATTTTACATACCCTACCTCAGACTAAAACTAAGAATTGTTCACCCTATGCCAGACTAAAAGATGGGAAAGACGGTTATTCAATAGATTGCAATCAATATTTACTAACGTGTTTATGGTTTTTTACCGTCAGAAAGCATAGTGTATTCGCCAGACAAAAATGACCAAATCGTAACCCTATCCCAGACTAAAGTAATACCCTATCCCAGACAAAATGATACCCTACCCCAGACCCAAAAGCCGAAAAACCATACCCTATAGGGCAGCATACCCGTATAGAAAATATAGGGGAGTAATTCAGGCGAAATTCAGACAAACAAACTTATAGTTTACTTTGAGCAGATAATTTTCATAGCCGATCGTAGTAGATCCTAGTTTAAATGGGTTATTATTCTAACTTTAAGTAAAAATATTAAAATCGGTTTGTATAATCCTCGTCGTGTTTAAACAGAATGCAATGTTTGTCTGAAACTTTAAGCTATTTTTAGAATCTGTACGCTGCACTATTGAGATGCAAATGAGACAACAAGCATCGTGTTGACCACATAGCCTCACTTGTATGATTCTTAAACAAGAATAACTCATTGTAGGCTCAACTGTAATAACAGCTATTAGCTATTTCAAGATTGAAAAAAAACCAGGTTGGGTCAAGATTTAATTTATTTTAATGGATTCTTTTAGGACAGAAAGGTGACTCCATTCCCAAGATTCTTGAAATATGTCTTGATGGTAGTGACAAGATCCAGAGAGTGTCAAGCACTACAGATATCAAGCTTGCCATTGAGGATCTACAGAAATATGCAATGGTTAAACAATCTCTAGGTCTGTTGTACCACCATAAAATCCCAGTTATTAAGCCTTTTTTTTTTTATAAGCCCACTAGTTTGCTATGCAAATATTCTTTTATTTTCATTCTGTTCAACTATCCTGCTACCCATTTGTTCTTCCGTCCGTCCCTCCGTCCCTCCCTCCCTCCCTCCCTCCCTCCATCCATCCATCCATCAATCCATCCAGTATGTGCATCTATCTAGCCTTTCATTGATCTGTTCCTCCATCTTTCTGTGTATCTAACTGACTGTCTGTCTGTTCATCAATCCATCCATCCATTTATTTATTTCTCATTATTCATCTGTCTGTCTTACCATTTTCTTTCTGTGCATTATTATGTCTGTCCATCCATCTATCATTCTGTCCATCTGTCTGTCGTTCCATTTATCTATTCATTGTTCTTATCTTTTTATGTTTACAGGGAAGATAAAACCTGGAGATATTTTTAGTCTAGAACTGTGGTGCTCATCTGTTACCATGGACGATAAGGAACACAGGGAGCCCAGATATACTTTGACTGTGGTTGACTCTCCACCAAGTCTCTCACAGAATGGACTCTTTGCTATTTTCATTGTTCCACAAGGTGACAGCTTCTTATAAATAATTAAGTGAAATGTCTGGTAAAACATAGCTGGCCGTCATTGTCATCATCAACATCATCATTTGCTTTGACCATCATTTTCATCATTCAGTGTTGTCATCATTATTTACATTCATTATTATTATTATTATTATTATCATTTAATAATAATGATATAATGACAAGGCTCAAAACAGTAGCCTGCCAATGGCCAAATGACAGAAAAAATTTCAGGTTTGGCAGGCAAAAATAAGGATGCACTGCCAAATGAATAATAAAATGACATGCAAAATTTACTGGAATGACTTCCTTTTACCACGTTCCTTTATTATGGCAGGCTAAAACAGTTTTCTATTATTGATCTGATTATTATTATTATTATTATTATTATTATTATTACCTCAAATAGCATGTGCATTTCTCAACAGGTAGAGAGACTGACAAGTCCTTTGCTTCACAAGAAGGTCAAAAAGAACTTGCTGCAACTGCAAAATTCCAAAGACTCATTATAGCATCTCTTCACAGAGGACATAAGTATGAAAACATAGAAACAATAAAGAAAGAATTATCAGCCAAGGTGATGGAGCTAGCTCCTGATGGAGTAATCAATGAGAAAATGGTAAGTGAGAGAAGGATTAGAATAGAAAAGTTCGAGGCTGTTTCAGGGTTGCATCTGTATCTGAGATTAGCCTATAGGTTGTTTTAGGGTTCTATTTACAAGTTAACCATGCCCTGACTTAAATCAACCCAGATATTGTTTCAGGGTTCAATTTGTGAGTTAGCCATGCCCTGACTAAGATCAGCCAAGAGGTTGTTTCAGGGTTCAATCTGTGAGTTAGCCATGCCCTGACTTAGATCAGCCTAGAGGTTGTTTCAGGGTTCAATCTGTATCTGAGATTGCCCATAGGTTGTTTTAGGGTTCTATTTACAAGTTAGCTATGCCCTGACTTAAATCAGCCCAGAGGTTGTTTCAGGGTTCAATCTGTGAGTTAGCCATGCCCTGACTTAGATCAACCAAGAGGTTGTTTCAGGGTTCAATCTTTGAGTTCACAAATCTCTGGTTTGTAATGAATATATATATTTTTTCTTCATTTAGGTACCTTTCCTCTCTGATGGTGGTGATATTGGATCTCGTGATACCTTGGATCAAGGAACAAGCGAGATAAGTGGTGATTATGTCATAGAGGAAGTGGAGAGGAAAGGAGGCGAAAGACAACGACGTTTAGTGTTGCTTAGCAATGCTGATGCTATCCAATCAGAGGCAAGAATAAAAATAGGTAAGGGGAGGTAAATTAAAAACCTGATTTCATATGTCATTTCTGAGGTAGATAAATAAGATGCATCTTGGTCTAGCTTGAGTACAAACAACACGATATAAGGCATGGTGAAAAAAATGTTTGTACCCAAGCTATACCACAACATAATGCAACATGTTCACTGTCTCAATAATGGTCTATTAAATAACTGTCATTTTTGTATGTAAGTTTTTTAAGAAGAACAACCATCATGAAAATATGATGGTCCATTTCTCTCGTGGCAGCCATCTTTGTTCCCCACTTAGCCTAGCTCTCACTCAAGCACATTAGAACAAATGATAACTGGTCCAGTTTCCAAACCTAACACTTTTTACCTATAATACTTTTTCAGAAATAAAAACTGTGAAAGGAAAGAAAGGAAAAACAAAAAAGAAGACAGAGTACCTTGTAGATCATTCTTACTTGTTTGATGTACATCACCAGGGTATAGTGGCTGGTTTGGCTTTTGTTGAAGGCATTACTGACAATGGTAAATTACTTCTTTGCCCAACTATGGTGCAATGTTTTCAGATCATGTGTCATTCCCTTGAGTATTATTTCTTTCTTTACTAGGAATTCTTTTCAGCTATGGTGCAATGTTTTCCCATTTCAGACTACTTGCCATTCCCTCAAGTTTTTTTTTTTCATTGTTTAAGACAAATCAATATGGATACAATTCAAAAAAAGAATATAAATGAAGAGAATGACACATGAAGAAACATTGTACCATAGCTGAAAAGCAAATCCTAGTAAAGAAAGAAATAATACTCAAGGGAATGACACATGTTCTGAAATGTGGAAACATTGCATCCAAGGTCATGCAAATGCAACACCATAGAGGTAATAAACTATTATTATTTCCTGTCTTGTAATATTATGTTTTTCTCACAGGCTCAAAGAAATCAGGTCTTTTAGTTGGTCTAGGTAGTGGTTGTCTGTCGATGTTTATTCATGAGTTCTACACACAGGTAAGTGATGGGAAGTACGGGTGTTAAAAGCAAAAATAGGCCACACCTTACCACTGTGGTCCCTGGGGGGGGGGGGGGGGGGGGGWACYCCCATATATGGACTATACGGGGATGATCCGCTGAACAGGGTATGGTTTTTCAAGCTTCTTGTCATAAACAGGGTATGCAATTTCACTCAAGTTCSAAGTTCTTCCTVAGTTTCCTGTCATATTCAGGGTTTCTACTTTCGWATTGACCGAAACTGGTTATTATGGTCTTAAAAAAAAGATATGTGAGATGACATGATAATTGAAACGGGAACTCAGTGCAATTAATTATATCTTTTATCATGAACAGGGTCAACAAATTTGGGTTTTTTGTCATAAACAGGGTACCCCTTTCAGAATCCCAGTGGAACACCCCTACCCAAATTCTGGCGGAGTACCCCCCGGGCTGTGGTAATGGGCTCAATTCTCAGACTCCGTGTCGTATGTTACCAGAGTTGTTTGTCGGCTTTTCTCTGGATAAATTTTAACTTTTCCAATTCAAGTTGATCATATAAATTTTTGCATAATTTTGCAATAAAATTTTCGCATTTGATATTTCTCTCTAGATCGTCCTACATACCGTAGAAAAAGACCCCGAAATAGTCAAAATTGCAAAGAAATGGTTTAACTGCATTGAAGATGACCGACTCAAGATTTTTACTGAAGATGGACTGGACTTCATCAAATGGGCATCGACTCAAGGTGCATGCGACAAGCCAATGGACCCTTCTCAAAAAGGATTTGAATGCAAGGCTGACATGAAAATACAAATGCAATCAGACCAGACTTTTTCTCAATAAAATTTGTGGCATTTCTTGTGCATTTCCATGTTAGCCTTTCATTCGAGACAATTTTGAGAAGAGTTTATTCTTGATAAAAGACACCAGTCTTTGCTTGGTGTAGAGCCTGGCAGGGAGGGGTTGGAACCTTTGGCATTTTCCCGCCTTTTTGCCTTAGTGAGCAAACGTGCGTGGCTTACGAGCTTTTCCAATTTCCAGCACTTTCTGATACAGCAACTTGGTTACTTGGCAACCAATATTCATTTTTCCTTTGCAGATCCAAAGCCTTGTTATCACGTGATCATACTTGACGTAGGCATAAAAAGTAAGGCTCCTGATTCTGTGACTCCACCAATCAGCTTCCTAGAGCCAATCTTCCTCGCATCTGTTAAGGAAATTCTTCATAAAAAAGGTCAGTACTGTTATGCGTGGCATTGGAGTAGTGTCATTGGTAACCATGGGTGATGTACTTGCCTCTCACCTATAGGGCATCAGGTTTGAATAATGGATTCCCCATCACGTTAGCAGAGTTTTTTTGGGGTGAAAGGTTTTTCTACGTTTTCTCCAGTTTTCCCCCCTCCACAGCCAAACGAACAAGTAAACTTCCAATTCAATTTGTGAGTTAGCAATGCTTTGACCTAGATCAGCCCTGAGGTTATTTCAGGGTTTGATCTGCGAGTTAGCCATGCCCTGAGTTAGACCAACCCATTGGTTATTTCAGGGTTTGCGCTGTGAGTTAGCCATGCCCTGACTTAGATCAGCCCAGAGGTTGTTTCAGGGTTTGATCTGTGAGTTAGCCATGCCCTGAGTTAGACCAACCCATTGGTTATTTCAGGGTTTGCGCTGTGAGTTAGCCATGCCCCAAGTTAGATCAGCACAGAGGTTGTTTCAGGGTTTAATCTGTGAGTTAGCCATGCCCTGACTTAGATCAGCTCAGAGGTTGTTTCAAGGTTCAAACTGTGAGTAAGCCATGCCCTGAGTTAGATCAGCCCAGAGAATGTTTCAGGGCTCAATCTTGTCCTGACTTAGATCAACCCAGGGTTATTCTAGCAGGGGATGATCCATTAAACAATGTTTTTACAAATTTTTTCTTTGCTCACCAGGAGTTTTGATCATAAAATTCAAATGCAGCAGCACAGACGCCACACGTACTAATATCCTCCAAGAACTGCAGTCACTATTCCAAGAAGTCTGTATTCTAAAATTGGACGAGTCTGACTGCGAAATCATTTTCGCTTTGCCAGAAAAACGCGACATGGGAATAACGCAAAACTCGAGGGTAAAACAGATCAAGAACTCGGTTGCGGAGTTACAAAAGTATGGAGAAAGATCAAAGAATTGGGATGAAGACACGGACCTTTGTTTTGTTATGGATAACTTGAAGGTTTTGTGATAGGAAGTAGCGATAAGATCACTTTTTGGACAGAGAACAGCACGAAGGAATTCGCAAAAATGCACGGAAAGAGTGCGAGGGAAATACCGAAATTAGAGATATGAACTTTAGGAAACAAGTAAAGAAGTTTAGGATTCTGTAAGGAAAGAGGAGAAAGAGAGCTGCAATGTAAGATTAAGAAAAAGCAAAGGAAGAGAATGAGGAAAGGAAAAGAAATGAAAAAGAAGGGAAAATTATATATAGAAAGAGATGAAATTAAAGGAGAAAGGAAGGAGGGATGAAGGAGGGAGGGAGGAAAAGATGGAAAGAGAGAGAGAAAAAATAATGAAAGAACTGAATAAAGAGAAAAACAATAAAAAACAAAAAAGAAGAGAAAAAGAAACGAAACGAGAAAATAAAAGTTCTTCACATTTAATAATTCGCAACTTAACTAAATTTTTATCATAGAAGCTGGTGTCTTAGTATTCAACAAAAAAAAAATACTTCAAAGAAAAAAAATCAAAAAAGAATGTACATTTATGCAAGTTCCTTTTAAGTCTCTTCCACGATATTTTACAACGTTTAAAATAGTCAACTACAAAGTATTTTGGTACATTTTATGAGTGTTGGAAAAGTAGGTCACGTGATTCGTGGTCCATTAAACGATTAGGAGTCAAATGAATCATCAGGTCACGTGCTCCTACAGCGTTCATCTTGATTGGCTCAGACCAAAAATTTTTAAGAAACGCCAGCCAATAAAAATCCTGAATCTATTAAAGAGTTTAATTGCCGTTTCTAATAACCCAGTTCCGAGATATGCATCGATTGTCACGCCCAAAGGTTTCAGTATGAAGCTACGTGCTAAATGCTCAGTCATTCGTGACAGGCGGTAGGAATAAATCTAATTTAGCACATAGCCTCATACTGAAACCTTTGTGCGTGACAAGCGAAGCATATCTCTGAGGTGGGCTATTCCCCACTCATAAAAAATCTTCCCTGCGACTGCACATGAATCAAGAATTTGTACAAGTTTAGCTAGTCTCCATCTTGTCCTCCGCTTCATCCTGTACCGCGGGCTCACTTTCTTCCGCATCTTCGCCTTCCTCGCCCTCACCCTCTTCTTCAGGTTTGCCCTCCTGTTTCTCGTAAGCTTTAGGCCCCGGAGTGACAATAACGCCACCCCAACTGGTTACTTCTGTATCTACAGCTGCAAAGAAAAAAGGGAAATATTCGTCAAAGGTTTTTGATTACGTAAGTTGTGACGTAATTCAATGACGTCATAATGTTAGCATAAAAAGAGCATTTACTTACCAACTAGTGGTATTCCTTCTATAGTCTAAAGGGAAAAATGTTAGAGTCAGAATAAAAGTGCTGATACACGGTGTAACATTGCACGCAACATTGTAAGCAACATATTTGAAGCGGGGTGACACACATTGCAACAAAATCACGCAACATCGCTTGTGTCCGCCTGCTATGTTAAGATATTTGGTCAGCAGTTATAAATTATGTGCAAGCTGATTGGCTGGAAATTTCAAAATTTTGCACGCAATGTTACAGCCATCTTCACACGATGAAATTTTTGTTGCTCGCAATGTTGCAAGAGTAGAGCGCGATTCAACTTCATATTTGTTGCATGCAACAAGTGTCAGGGGTAGATACACGCCCAAACTGTCCTGTTGCGTGCAATGTTGCAATGTTGCACCGTGTGTTCGTACCTTAAGGAATTATCATACACTCACTGGCATATAGGGAAGGGATACGGGGGATGGGAAGGTTGTGGGGGCTGAATGAGAAAGAAGTCATTCAAAACAAGGGATGTTTAACAAATAAAGCTTACCAGTCCCAAGATTTCATTATATGCTCCATGGTTTAAGCATCGGAGAAGTGTCTGGGCAGTAGTTGCGATAGAATCCTACAAATTGGATTATGTCTCTTAGCTTATTTTGTAAAAAGAAAAAAGTAATCGCTACATGTGGCAAGTTAGCCTGGAACTTGTGTGTTTTATACATAGGATTTAAAAGATATATTTATCTAAGAGAAAATTAGAATAGGAATAAGATTCAATGTAAACGAACAAGTGCTTTTATAGGATTTAAAAGATATATTTATCTAAGAGAAAATTAGAATAGAGATAAGATTCAAT